GTGGAGACTGTACATGAATAAATAACGTGAAAATGCCTGATGGCTAAAGATATGGTTGGTCGAATTTCAGTGAACTTTTACTGCACTGGAATAACATTTTAAAAATATATAAACAGTGAAAAAAGTACTGTAATTTTCTATTACATTACACATACTTTGTGGTAAACAAACATTTTTATTTGAATTTACCTTATCTTTCCTTGAATAGAATCTCTCTGTATGCAAAAATGTTTTCTTCTTTTTGGACTTTATCAAATAAAAAGAGCTTATGTATGTATATGATGTGCAGTAATGAAATATTTCTCTAAATTGTTGTTGACAAATCTTCAGGTGACAGCTACCTTATAAAAAATATAAATAATGTATGTTTATGTATGTGAGCCATATTTCTTTTTTAATGTTTATTCTTGGTAACAGTTACTTATTTTTGCCACTTGTATAAGGTAAAGTGTTATCATATATTGTAAGTGTATAGGCAGAGATGAGTGAGCTGGATTGGATGGATATAGATTCAGATTCAGATACAGATTGCCTTGACTTGCTGTGAATCTGATTTATTTTGGTGATACTTTGTTTTTAATCATTCTTAATATTTTTATGCAAAATAGTCTGATCTGCAGAGAATTGCAGCGTACATAAACCCATAATTCAAGAATTGCATTATTCTCTTTGTACTGGACAAATCCACATGCAATTATACAGAAGTACAACCACACAGCCTTAAAGAGTAGCATTATAAAAAGAGGTTCAGAATTTTCCAGCAGATTAATTGAACGTAAATGTTGCTTGGATGCCTACCTTAAGATTCCCATAGACAAGTTATTTAATTACGCAGTTGACAATTTCAAGTATAAGCAGGAATACTTAAACGTCTAAATTTGCTTATGTAATATGTAGAGACACTGGGGATGATTTGTAACATTTAGAAAAAAGAGAATTGAAGGAATGTTTAGCGCTATTATTTAAAGTGGTTCTAAAGCCAAGGCAAGTGACTTGCTATGGGGGGATTCAGAGAAAAAGAGGAGTGGACAGCACTGGTGGAGGACCCCAGAAGAGGAGATCTGGGTGGTTCTGTGCTATACTGTTGCACAGAGCAGGTAAGTATAACATGTTTGTTATTTTTAAAAAAGAGCCTTTACAATCACTTTACAGCCACTTATTGGATTTTTTGCTATAAGACTGACCTGGTTGGTTCCTAGAGACAACTGTTGATATTTGCTTCTGTCTACTCTATCTCAGTTCTTTTAACCTCCCTAGCGGTAATCCCGAGTGAGACTCGGGGTTAATTTACTGTACCAAAAGCGGTAACCCCGAGCCACACTTGGGATTACTCTATAGTGCTTCTCCTGCGATCCCCCAATCCCTACCTTGTTCTGCAATCCCGCAAAGCTGTTTTTTTCCCTTGCACATGATTTGGTATTCTTTGCAAAGTGAAATTTTACCACATTCATCAAGCACTGGGGAAAATTCCCTTGCATTGTCCAACCTGCAAAGTGAACAGCTTATTTGCCTTTAGTTAATCAGGTCCACTGTTTTCTCTGACACTACAACAGCTGTATAGGAATATGCAGATATCCATTTAGCACTGCCCTTCCTTAAGTAAGTTATGAGCAGTTTATATTTGGATCTGGTACATTGACCAGCTATTGCTTTATAATGTTCCAGATGATGTGTACACGAAAGGTATTGATAAGAAATGGATCTGCGGAGATGTGAGCAAATACAGCGATGAAGATGAGCAAAGATTGGAAAAGACAGAGTGTGAGGAGAGTTTACAATCCAGTCATGAAAATGTATATGTTCCTCTGTCAGCTCATTCTGACTTTGAGAATCTGCCTGTTCAAGTAGACTGCAGCTTTGCCACCACTTCTTTTCTTCCAGGAGACAGTCCTTTACAGCAGTTTCACTCTTTACAAGGTACTGATTCTTCATGTATTAATTCATTTGAATTATGTTTTTTCTTTTTAAATGGTCATTGGCCAGAAAAAAGTGCATCCTGTGCCCAAGTTGTCCCTTTCATAATTCATATTCTTGTTAACGATGGTTGTATCATTGAGGGGGGGATAAGAGCTCTGGATACTCACCTGCACTCCTGGCTTCTTTTAACTTCTATCTGCTGCTTGTGGATGCCATGTTGGCAGGAAGCTTTGACCAAAATAATGTCTAGTAAGTTAAGGATTCATTGAATGGAGGTGCTCTTTCTTAACTGGCCCTTTGCCACTGACAAGAATATTTTAAATTTTTTGGTATAAAAAAAATCTAAGGTGGGTAAAATGTATGTCTGACATATCCAATATCCAATGTATGTCTGGCATATCCAATATCCAAAATATGGCACAGTTACTTGTACACAGGGGCGGACTGACCATTCGAACACTCGGGCACTGCCCGAGGGCCTGGGGTCAGTAGGGGGCCCCATGAAATGCCCCTGGTACCTTTTTTATAGGCTTTTTTGGGTGTGCTTTGAGTGTGGCCAAGGACACAGGGGCCCCATGATCCCCTATTGCCTGGGGGCCCCATGAGTTATCAGTCCGCCATTGCTTGTACATTTACACTAATGACTAAATGACAAATACATATAAATCATGTGCATTTCATATGCATTTTTTACACTTGTTTAAAGATACTGCTTTGCTCAGTTAGAAATAGATAAGGGGCAATTTTATAAAGCATTCGCAACACTTTTTTGGCATTAGATATATTATACTGTATATTAGATATATTATACTGTAAAAGCTGGTGCAAATCAGCCCATAAAAATTCATTTAAAGTTATTTTTACCCAAGTTAAGATTAGATATTGTATATAAATATTTAATATTTACCATGTCTAGCCAACATGCTGTTCCAGTTGTTTATTTATTTGCTGTAAAGCCTGCAAATTGCTTACCTGTCACCTGGAACAGTGTTTCTCTACTTTTTTTCAGTCAAGGCACCCTTTAAAATTATGGACAATCTCAAGTCACCCTTTGGTAAAAACCTATTCTAATAGTTTTACATAATGCAGCAAAATCCACACGTGTAGGTTACCAAACATTAGAGGTGATTTATTCTTCCAAAGCAAATATTCCTTTGCAAACTGGTACTAACTAGTATTTCAATGTGTCTCCCTTAGTTTCTCTCCCTCACTCAGCTAATGTGACCCCACTGTGGATAAAGAGGGGCAGGGAAGGGGCAAACAAGGATGCTGTGCAGGCGCCCGATGTCCTCGTTATCAACTGATGTAATTGGTTGTTAGGATGCCGGTAGCTGGCAGATTGTAAAAGTGTGCAATGAAAACCTATGGCTTTGTGTAATTTAAAAGCAGGCTTGATCCACCTGCTGGCTTGTATGCAATTTTTGGGAAGTTTTTAAGCATTTTGCCAAGGAACCCCTGAACAAGCCTGAAGGGCTGGGCACCCTGGTTGAGAAAGGCTGATCTAGAACACATGCTATTGAAGAAGCTGGAGAAGCAAAACAAATACAAAACAAAAAATCCCAACATATTTATCAGTCAGCAAAAAAAAAAACCCCTCTAAACTGTTTCAACAATTTGCTTTAAAAACAGAGTTTTTGTTACATAGCTTTGCAAATCTATGAGACACCACACTCCTGTAACAAGATACCACTGCAAAGTGTGGTCCCTAACTCTAGCCTAACAGAGCTCTCATACTTGGATGTATTTAGCAATTAATAAATTCTCTTTGTCCCACTGGGGAAATTTGCTCTTCTATTTGTCCTGGTAACTAGAGATGAGCGAAGTATTCAAAAATTCGATTCGACTGATTCGGCTAATTCGTGGAAAAATTTTGATTCGAGTCGAATATATTCGCTGCGAATTTAACTTATAAAAGGGTGTTTCTAGGCTTCAGAGAGCCTTTATATTAGTGCAGAACACTGTACCTTTAATTTAAATGCCCTTGGAGTCTGCTGGGGAAGAGAAATAATACTGACAGTCAGTATGACATGCAGATGAGTGCCGTCGATCTTAGAATCACCGCACACTTCACTCATTTGGGCAGTCACGGGGCCAAAACCAGAGTGTGGAGCCACAGTGTGGCGGTGGAGGCAGCAGCAATGGGAGGCCATACAGCACCCTATGACAAAAATGGAAACCACCAGCAGTGTGAGGAGACCTGAAAGTGGCACATGGCAGAGTGTGGCGATGGAGACAGCAGCAATGGGAGGCCGTACAGGGACCCATGACACACTCTGGACCTGGCAGCAGCATGAGGAGGCGGTACAGGGGCCCATGACAGATTACGGGCCTGGCAGCAGCATGAGGAGTCGGTACGGGGGCCCATGGCAGATTACGGGCCTGGCAGCAGCAATGGGAGGCCGTACAGGGACCCATGACACACTCTGGACCTGGCAGCAGCATGGGGAGGCGGTACAGGGGCCCATGATAGATTACGGGCCTGGCAGCAGCATGAGGAGTCGGTACGGGGGCCCATGACACACTCTGGACCTGGCAGCAGCATGAGGAGGCGGTACAGGGGCGCATGACAGATTACGAGCCTGGCAGCAGCAACTTGGACAGGAGGACGTTCAGCTTCTGCACCGTCGGGTGCGTGCTCGCAAACTGTTGTCTCTTGGAAACGGATTCCAAGAAAGACTGCTGACGGAATCCGTGAAGAGGAGTAGCAGGAGAAGGAGCATCTGAACGAGCGGAATATGCCAACAAGCGACAACAGGGGCCCATGACAGATTACGGGCCTGGCAGCAGCATGAGGAGTCGGTACGGGGGCCCATGGCAGGTTAGGGGCCTGGCAGCAGCTATGGGAGGCCCGTAATCTGCCAGCACCCTATGACAAAAAATGGAACCCACCAGCAGTGTGAGGAGACCTGAAAGTGGCACATGGCAGAGTGTGGCGATGGAGACAGCAGCAATGGGAGGCCGTACAGGGACCCATGAGAGACTCTGGACCTGGCAGCAGCATGAGGAGGCGGTATAGGGGCCCATGGCAGATTAGGGGCCTGGCAGCAGCTATGGGAGGCCCGTAATCTGCCAGCACCCTATGACAAAAAATGGAACCCACCAGCAGTGTGAGGAGACCTGAAAGTGGCACATGGCAGAGTGTGGCGATGGAGACAGCAGCAATGGGAGGCCGTACAGGGACCCATGACACACTCTGGACCTGGCAGCAGCATGAGGAGGCGGTATAGGGGCCCATGGCAGATTAGGGGCCTGGCAGCAGCTATGGGAGGCCCGTAATCTGCCAGCACCCTATGACAAAAAATGGAACACACCAGCAGTGTGAGGAGACCTGAAAGTGGCACATGTTTGGGGCATGATTCATGGCGGATTTAGTCAGTTGTGTCAGGAACTGGTGGTTTGAAATCCAGACTAATCCACGCCTGATTCATTTTCACAAACGTCAGTCTCTCCACACTTTGGTGGACAGTCGTGTCCTCCGCGGAGTTGCAATACCTCCTGCCGCACTAAACACGCGCTCCGATGCCACGCTACTGGCCGGGCATGACAGCCTTTCAAGGGCAAATTCAGCTAGTTGGGGCCAAAGGTCAAGTTTCGTTGCCCAGTAGTCAAGGGGATTGTCTACCTCGGTTGGCAGGGTGCTGTCCAAGTAGGCCTAAGCCTGTTGTTTGAGGTCCTGCTCCAGGTCCACCTGATGCTGCTGCTGCTGCTGCTGCTGCTGGGCTGGTTAGTAGTTTCCTCACTGCGCTGGTGAAGAAAGCTACTCATCATCGACTGCAGACTGAGGCAGCTGCTGCTGGTGGAGCTGCCACTGCTCCTACCACCCCACCCCTCCCCTGCTGCCATGGCAGCGGAACGCGAGCGCACAGGGCCCACAGTGTCTGAGGATGGACGTTGGCGCAGACAGGCAGAGACCAGCTGACTACATAGGTGGTTTTTATAGTACGTTATTTTGGCCTCCCTCTCAGCAGGTGTGAAAAAGGCCACCATTTTTGAACGGTAGCGAGGGTCCAACAAGGTGGACAGCCAAAAGTCATCCCTCTGTCTGATGGTTATTATTCGGCTGTCGGTACGCAAGCAAGCGAGCATGCTATGGGCCATTTGTGCCAAGGAATGCGAGGGACTCCCTGCCTCCATCTCCACAGCATACTGCCACGGTGCGTCTGGGTCCTCTGTCTCCTCCTCCTCTACCAGATGCTCCTGCTCCTCCACTCCTGTCCGCTGAGTGGAAAAACCACCCATTTCACTCAATAATTCCTGAGCACCAATGTCCTCCTCTACCTCCTCCTCTTCTTCCTGTCCTGCCCCCACAGGGGTCATGTGGCGTTGAGATCTGTGCGCCACGTCTACCGCACCCTGACCAGCCATTGTTAACAGCATTTGTTCCAGGACGTGCAACAGAGGAATGACGTCGTTCATCCCATAGTCCTGCCGACTCACGAATAGCGTGGCCTCCTCAAAGGGCCTGAGCAAGCGGCAGGTGTCACGCATGAGCTGCCAATGGCTGACATCGAAGTTACACAGGGGAGTACCTTTATCCGCTTGTAACATCATGAAATCGGTGATGGCCTTTCGCTGTTCGTAAAGGCGGTCTACCATGTGTAGGGTTGAAATTCCACCTTGTTGCAACGTCGCAGATCAGGCGATGCTGTGGAATTCCGTTCTGCCGCTGCAGCTCAAGGAGGGTGTGCTTTGCGGTGTAGGAATGGCTGAAATGCATGCAAGGTTTACGTGACATTTTAAGGATGTCTTGCAGTGGGATGGTGGATTTTAGGAACCGCTTGACAACCAGATTGAACACGTGAGCCATGCATGGCGCATGGCACAACCTTCCTTGACGCAGAGCAGACACCATGTTCTTTCCGTTGTCGGTCAACATGGTTCCGATTTTTCAGTTTGCGCGGAGACAGCCATCTGTCGATTTCTCTGTTCATTACACTGAGAAGTTCCTCCCCTGTGTGACTACGTTCGCCTGGACCTGGCAGCAGCATGAGGAGGCGCTATAGGGGCCCATGGCAGATTAGGGGCCTGGCAGCAGCTATGGGAGGCCCGTAATCTGCCAGCACCCTATGTCAAAAAAATTGAACACACCAGCAGTGTGTGAGGAGACCTGAAAGTGGCACATGGCAGAGTGTGGCGATGGAGACAGCAGCAATGGGAGGCCGTACAGGGACCCATGAGAGACTCTGGACTTGGCAGCAGCATGAGGAGGCGGTATAGGGGCCCATGGCAGATTAGGGGCCTGGCAGCAGCTATGGGAGGCCCGTAATCTGCCAGCACCCTATGACAAAAAATGGAACACACCAGCAGTGTGAGGAGACCTGAAAGTGGCACATGGCATGAGACACTGTGGACCTGGCAGCAGCATGAGGAGGCGGGTACAGGGGCCCATGGCAGATTAGGGGCCTGGCAGCAGCTATGGGAGGCCCGTAATCTGCCAGCACCCTATGACAAAAAATGGAACACACCAGCAGTGTGTGAGGAGACCTGAAAGTGGCACATGGCAGAGTGTGGCGATGGAGACAACCCACCGACTGTTTTGCTCGCTGCCAAGCTGCCACCCTCTTCTCCTGATGATGATGCGGAAGCAATAGCTGATGACGACGAGGCTGCCAAGTGCGATCAGCCTCATCATCATCAATTAGGGTCTCCGCCTCACTACTAGCCCCCTCGGCTGCGTGTGGGTCAGGAGACAGACCTGTCTCTAGACCGGCTACCGAGCCACTCTCCTCGCCACTACTTCTTCGCCTGGCTGCTGAAGAGGCGGATGTCTCCCCCCGTTCCTGACCGCCCTCTATGTTAGCTCTTCCTCACTGTACTGGATGACACCGGGAGCACTGGCCTCTGGCTGCGAATAGTGCTGCCTCGACCCCTTCCTCTGCTGCCACGTCTGCTCGCTCCTAAAACATTGCCTCCTCTGCCACTCCTCTGCATGTTGTCTGACATACTCTTTAATTCAACGATTCTGTGTCCCTGAGTAACAATTCTGTGTCTGTCCCTGAGTAACAATTCTGTGTCCCTGAGTAACGTTTTTCTGTGGCCCTAAGTAACAGTTCTGTGGCCCTCAGTAACAATTCTGTGTCCCTCAGTAACAATTCTGTGTCCCTCAATAACAATTCTGTGTCTGTCCCTGAGTAACAATTCTGTGTCTGTCCCTGAGTAACAATTCTGTGTCCCTCAGTAACAATTCTGTGTCCCTCAGTAACAATTCTGTGTCTGTCCCTGAGTAACAATGTGTGTGTCCCTGAGTAACAATTCTGTGTCCCTCAGTAACAATTCTGTGTCCCTCAGTAACAATTCTGTGTCCTCAGTAACAATTCTGTGTCCCTCAGTAACAATTCTGTGTCCCTCAGTAACAATTCAATTCTGTGTCCCTCAGTAACAATTCTGTGTCCCTGAGTAACAATTCTGTGTCCCTCAGTAACAATTCTGTGTCCCCTGAGTAAAAATTCTGTGTGTCTGTCCCTGAGTAACAATTCTGTGTCCCTAAGTAACGTTTCTGTGCCCTAAGTAACGTTTCTGTGGCCCTAAGTAACGTTTCTGTGGCCCTAGTAACAATTCTGTGGCCCTCAGTAACAATTCTGTGTCCCCTCAGTAACAATTCTGTGTCCCTGAGTAACAATTCTGTGTCTGTCCCTGAGTAACAATTCTGTGTCTGTCCCTGAGTAACAATTCTGTGTCCCCTGAGTAACAATTCTGTGTCCCCTCAGTAACAATTCTGTGTCCCTCAGTAACAATTCTGTGTCCCTCAGTAACAATTCTGTGTCCCTCAGTAACAATTCTGTGTCCCTGAGTAACAATTCTGTGTCTGTCCCTGAGTAACAATTCTGTGTCCCTCAGTAACAAATTCTGTGTCCCTCAGTAAACAATTCTGTGTCCCCAGTAAACAATTCTGTGTCTGTCCCTGAGTAACAATTCTGTGTCTGTCCCCTGAGTAACAATTTCTGTGTCCCTCAGTAACAATTCTGTGTCCCTCAGTAACAATTTTCTGTGTCCTCAGTAACAATTCTGTGTCCCTCAGTAACAATTCTGTGTCCCTCAGTAACAATTCTGTGTCCCTGAGTAACAATTCTGTGTCCCTGAGTAACAATTCTGTGTCTGTCCCTGAGTAACAATTCTGTGTCTGTCCCTGAGAGTAACAATTCTGTGTCCCTAAGTAACGTTTCTGTTGCCCTAAGTAACGTTTCTGTGTCCCTAAGTAACGTTTTCTGTGGCCCTAAGTAACGTTTCTGTGTCCCTAAGTAACGATTCTGTGGCCCTCAGTAACAATTCTGTGTCTGTCCTGTGGTCCTGAGTAACAATTCTGTGTCCCTGAGTAACAATTCTGTGTCTGTCCCTGAGTAACAATTCTGTGTCCCTGAGTAACAATTTCTGTGGCCCTAAGTAACAATTCTGTGTCCCTCAGTAACAATTCTGTGTCCCTCAGTAACAATTCTGTGTCCCTCAGTAACAATTCTGTGTCTGTCCCTGAGTAACAATTCTGTGTCTGTCCCTGAGTAACAATTCTGTGTCCCTGAGTAACAATTTCTGTGGCCCTAAGTAACAATTCTGTGGCCCCCTCAGTAACAATTCTGTGTCCCTCAGTAACAATTCTGTGTCTGTCCCTGAGTAACAATTCTGTGTCTGTCCCTGAGTAACAATTCTGTGTCCCTCAGTAACAATTCTGTGTCCCTCAGTAACAATTCTGTGTCCCTGAGTAACAATTCTGTGTCCCTGAGTAACAATTCTGTGTCTGTCCCTGAGTAACAAATTCTGTGTCTGTCCCTGAGTAACAATTCTGTGTCCCTAAGTAACGTTTCTGTGGCCCTAAGTAACGTTTCTGTGGCCCTAAGTAACGTTTCTGTGGCCCTAAGTAACGATTCTGTGGCCCCTCAGTAACAATTCTGTGTCCCTCAGTAACAATTCTGTGTCCCTAGTAACAATTCTGTGTCTGTCCCTGAGTAACAATTCTGTGTCTGTCCCTGAGTAACAATTCTGTGTCCCTCAGTAACAATTTCTGTGGCCCTAAGTAACAATTCTGTGGCCCTAAGTAACAATTTCTGTGTCCCTCAGTAAAAATTCTGTGTCCCTCAGTAACAATTCTGTGTCTGTCCCTCAGTAACAATTCTGTGTCCCCTGAGTAACAATTCTGTGTCCCTGAGTAACGTTTCTGTGGCCCTAAGTAACAGTTCTGTGGCCCTCAGTAACAATTCTGTGTCCCTCAGTAACAATTCTGTGTCTGTCCCTGAGTAACAATTCTGTGTCTGTCCCTCAGTAACAATTCTGTGTCCCTCAGTAACAATTCTGTGTCCCTCAAGTAACAATTCTGTGTCCCTGAGTAACAATTCTGTGTCCCTCAGTAACAATTCTGTGTCCCTCAGTAACAATTCTGTGTCCCTGAGTAACAATTCTGTGTCTGTCCCTGAGTAACAATTCTGTGTCTGTCCCTGAGTAACAATTCTGTGGCCCTAAGTAACGTTTCTGTGGCCCTAAGTAACGTTTCTGTGGCCCTAGTAACGATTTCTGTGGCCCTAAGTAACGTTCTGTGGCCCTAAGTAACGTTTCTGTGGCCCTAAGTAACGGTTCTGTGTCCCTCAGTAACAATTCTGTGTCCCTCAGTAACAATTCTGTGTCTGTCCTAAGTAACAATTCTGTGGCCCTAAGTAACGTTTCTGTGGCCCTAAGTAAACGTTTCTGTGTCCCTAAGTAACGATTCTGTGGCCCTAAGTAACGATTCTGTGGCCCTAAGTAACGTTTCTGTAGCCCTAAGTAACGTTTCTGTGGCCCTAAGTAACGTTTCTGTGGCCCTAAGTAACGGTTCTGTGGCCCTCAGTAACAATTCTGTGTCTGTCCCTAAGTAACAATTCTGTGGCCCTAAGTAACATTTCTGTGGCCCTAAGTAACGTTTCTGTTCTGTGTTCTGTGGCCCTAAGTAACGTTTCTGTGGCCCTAAGTTCTGTGGCCCTCTAACAATCTGTAAACAATTCTGTTCTGTCTAAGTAACGTTTCTGTGGCCCTAAGTAACGGTTTGTGGCCCTGTGGTTCCCCTCAGTAACACAATTCTGTGTGTCCCTAAGTAACAATTCTGTGTCCCTGTGGCCCTAAGTAACGTTTCTGTGGCCCTAAGTAACAACGTTTCTGTGGCCCTAAGTAACGGTTCTGTGGCCCTAAGTAACGGTTCTGTGGCCCTCAGTAACAATTCTGTGTCCCTCAGTAACAATTCTGTGTCTGTCCCTAAGTAACAATTCTGTGTCCCTAAGTAACGTAAGTAACGTTTCTGTGGCCCTAAGTAACGTTTCTGTGGCCCTCAGTAACAAAACTGTGTCCCTCAGTAAACATTTCTGTGTCTGTCCCTAAGTAACGTTTCTGTGGCCCTAAGTAACCTAAGTAACGTTTCTGTGGCCCTAAGTAACGTTTCTGTGGCCCTCAGTAACAATTCTGTGTCCCTCAGTAACAATTCTGTGTAACTGTCCCTAAGTAACAATTCTGTGGCCCTAAGTAACGTTTCTGTGGCCCTAAGTAACAATTCTGTGTGGCCCTCTAAGTAACAATTCTGTGGCCCTAAGTAACGTTTCTGTAACGATTCTGTGGCTCTCAGTAACAAATTCTGTGTCCCTCAGTAACAATTCTGTGGTCCCTAAGTAACGTTTCTGTGGCCCTAAGTAACGTTCTGTGGCCCTAAGTAACGTTCTGTGGCCCTTAACAATTCTGTGGCCCTCAGTAACAATTCTGTGTCCCTCAGTAACAATTCTGTGTCTGTCCCTAAGTAACAATTCTGTGGCCCTAAGTAACGTTTCTGTGGCCCTAAGTAACGTTTCTGTGGCCCTAAGTAACGTTTCTGTGGCCCTCAGTAACAATTCTGTGTCTGTCCCAATCAATTCTGTGTCTGTCCCTAACAATTCTGTGTCTGTTCCCTAAGTAAACAATTCTGTGGCCCTAAGTAACAATTCTGTGGCCCTAGTAACGTTTCTGTGGCCCTAAGTAACGGTTCTGTGGCCCTCAGTAACAATTCTGTGTCCCTCAATAACAATTCTGTGTCTGTCCCTAAGTAACAATTCTGTGGCCCTAAGTAACGTTTCTGTGGCCCTAAGTAACGATTCTGTGGCCCTCAGTAACAAATCTGTGTCCCTCACTAACAATTCTGTGTCTGTCCCTAAGTAACAATTCTGTGGCCCTAAGTAACGATTCTGTGGCCCTCAGTAACAATTCTGTGTCTGTCCCTAAGTAA